TGGGTAGGGGTGATGACTGTGTGAGTACTTGGAGTCACTGAGGAGGTGGAGAAAGGTGGAACGTGAGTGGGAAGTGTGGTCTGAGGGTGTGATGGTGTTGGATAGGTAGTGGTGGTCTTGAAGGATGTTACAGTTATAGGACCTGTGGAAGTGATGGGTCTGCTCCCTGTAGGTGGGGAATGTGTGGTGAAGGGTGTGTGTGGCTCACTGATGGTGGTCAACGTGGTGTGGGCCACAGGGGTGCTGGTGCCTGCACTAGTGGACTTGGGAATAATGGTGGTAGAATTTGGTGTGGTTTCAGGATGGTGTGTGGAGGAAGCCTGTGAGTGGAGGGATGTAGAGGTTTTGGCTGTGCTAAATGAGCTGTGGGCTTGGCTCATCCGAATGGTGGTTCCCGTCATCGGTGGGGTTGTGTGCGTGGACCCTGTGTCACTGACCGTTGTTGGTGGAGGAATGGTGCCTGTTGGCGTTGAGTGGATGGAGGAGGAAGTGAACATCTGTGTGTGGGTAGGCGTGATGACTGTGTGAGTACCTGGAGTCACCGAAGAGGTGGAGAAAGGTGGAACGTGAGTGGAAAGTGTGGTCTGAGGGTGTGATGGTGTTGGATAGGTAGTGGTGATCTGGAAGGATGTTGCAGTCATAGGACCTGTGGAAGAGAGGGTACTGCTCCCTGTAGGTGGGGAGTGTGTGGTGATGGGTGTGGGTGTCCTGCTGCTGGTGGCCGAGGTGGCGTGGGTCACAGTGGTGCTGGTGCCTGTACTGGTGGACTTGGGAGTATTTGTGGTGGTAGAAGTTGGGGTGATTTCTGGATGATGTGTGGAGGAAGGGTGTGAGTGGAGGGATGTAGAGGTTTTGGCTGTGCTGAATGAACTGTGGGCTTGACTGGTCCTACTGGTTGTTGCTGTCATTGGTGGGGCTGTGTGGGTGGACCCTGTAGCCTTGACTGTTGTTTGTGGATGAATGGTGCCTGTTGGCGTTGAGTGGATATAGGCAGAAGTGGACATCTCTGTGTGGGTAGGGGTGATGACTGTGTGAGTACTTGGAGTCACCAAGGAGGTGGAGAAAGGTGGAACGTGAGTGGGAAGTGTGGTCTGAGGGTGTGATGGTGTTGGATAGGTAGTGGTGGTCTGGAAAGATGTTGCAGTGATAGGACCTGTGGAAGAGATAGGAATGCTCCCTGTAGGTGGGGAGTGTGTGGTGAAGGGTGTAGGTGGCTTGCTGCTGGTGGCTGAGGTGGTGTGGGCCACAGGGGTGCTGGTTCCTGTACTGGTAGGATTGGGGGTGATGGTGGTAGAAGTTGGGGTGACTTGAGGATGGTGTGTGGAGGAAGTGTGTGAATGTAGGGATGTAGAGGTTTTGGCTGTGCTGAATGAGCTGTGTGCTTGGCTGGTCCCACTGGTGTTTGCTGTCGTCGGTGGGGCTGTGTGGGTGGACCCTGTGACCTTGACCGTTGTTGGTGGAGGAATGGTGCCTATTGGCACTGAGTGGATGGAGGAGGAAGTCGACATCTGTGTGTGGGTAGGGGTGATGACAGTGTGAGTAGTTGGAGTCACCAAGGAGGTGGATAAAGGTGGAACATGAGTGGAAAGTGTGGTCTGAGGTTGTGATGTGGTTGGATAGGTAGTGGTCGTCTTGAAGGATGTTGCAGTCATGGGACCTGTGGAAGAGATGGGGTTGCTCCCTGTAGCTGGGGAGTGTGTGGTGAAGGGTGTAGGTGGCTCGCTGCTGGTGGCTGAGGTGGTGTGGGCCACAGGGGTGCCGGTTATTCTACTGGTGGGGTTGGGGGTGATGGTGGTAAAAGTTGGAGTGACTTCAGTATGGAGTGTCGAAGAAGCATGTGTGTGTCGGGATGTAGAGGTTTTGGCTGTGCTGAATGAGCTCGGGGTTTGGCTGGTCCCGCTTGTGGTTGCTGTCATTGGGGGTGCTGTGTGAGTGGACACTGTGCCAGTGGCCTTGACCGTTGTAGGTGGAGGAATGGTGCCTGTTGGTGTTGAGTGGATGTAGGCAGAAGTGGACACCTGTGCGTGGGTCGAGGTGATGACTGTGTGAGTACTTGGAGTCACTGAGGAGGTGGAGAAAGGTGGAATGTGAGTGGGAAGTGTGGTGTGAGGTTGTGATGGGGTTGGATAGGTAGTGGTGGTTTGGAAGGATGTTGCAGTCAAAGGACCTGTGGAAGAGATGTGACTGCTCCCTGTAGGTGGGGAGTGTGTGGTGAAGCCTGTGGGTAGCTTGCTGCTGGTGGCTGAGGTGGTGTGGGCCACAGGGGTGCCGGTTCCTGTACTGGTGGGTTTGGGAGTGATGGTGGTAGAAGTTGGAGTCACTTCAGGATGGTGTGTGGAAGAAGTTTGTGAATGTAGAGATGTAGAGGTTTTGGCTGTGCTGAATGAGTTCGGGGCTTGGCTGGTCCCACTGGTGGTAGCTGTCATTGGTGGGGCTGTGTGCGTGGATGCTGTGGCCTTGACTGTTGTCACTGGAGGAATGGTTCCTGTTGGCCCTGAGGGGATGGAGGAGGAAGTGAACACCTGTGCGTGGGTGGGGGTGATGACTGTGTGAGTAGTTGGAGTCACCAAGGAGGTGGAGAAAGGTGGAACGTGAGTGGGAAGTGTGGTCTGAGGGTGTGATGGTGTTGGATAGGTAGTGGTGGTCTGGAAAGATGTTGCAGTGATAGGACCTGTGGAAGAGATAGGAATGCTCCCTGTAGGTGGGGAGTGTGTGGTGAAGGGTGTAGGTGGCTTGCTGCTGGTGGCTGAGGTGGTGTGGGCCACAGGGGTGCTGGTTCCTGCACTGGTGGATTTGGGAGTAATGTTGGTGGTTGAAGTTGGGGTAATTTCAGGATGGTGTGTGGAAGAAGCATGTGAGTAGAAGGATATGGAGGTTTTGGCTGTGCTGAATGAGCTCGGGGCTTTGCTGGTCCCACTGGTGGTCACCGTCATCGATGGGGCTGTGTGCATGGACCCTGTGGTCGTGAGCGCTGTTGGTGGAGGAATGGTGCCTGTTGGCATTGAGTGGATGGAGGTAGAAGTAGACAAATGTACGTGGGTAGGGGTGATGACTGTGTGAGTAGTTGGAGTCACCAAGGAGGTGGAGAAAGGTGGAATGTGAGTGGGAAATGTGGTCTGAGGGTGTGGTGGGTTTGGATAGGTAGTGGTGGTCTGGAAGGATGTGGCAGTCATAGGACCTGTGGAAGAGACGGGACTACTCACTGTAGGTGGGGAGTATGTGGTGAAGGGTGGTGGTGGCCTGCTGCTGGTGACCAAGGTGGTGTGGACCACAGGGGTGCCTGTGCCTGTACTGGTGGGGTTGGGAGTAATGGTGGTGGTAGAAGTTAGGGTGATTTCAGGATGGTGTGTGGAGGAAGCATGTGAGTGTAGGGATGTAGAGGTTTTGGCTGTGCTGATTGAGTTCTGGGCTTGACTGGTTCCACTGATGGTCCCCGTCATTGTTGGGGCTGTGCGCGTGGACCCTGTGGCCGTGAGGGTTGTTGGTGAAGTAATGGTGCCTGTTGGCTTTGAGTGGATGGAGGAGGAAGTGGACATCTGTGCGTGGGTAGGAGTGATAACTGTGTGAGTACTTGGAGTCACCAAGGAGGTGGAGAAAGCTGGAACATGAGTGGGAAGTGTGGTCTGAGGGTGTGATGGGGTTGGATAGGTAGTGGTGGTCTTGACGGATGTTGCAGTCATAGGACCTGTGGAAGAGACAGAAGTGCTCCCTGTAGGTGGGGAGTGTGTTGTGATGGGTATGGGTGTCCTGCTGCTGGTGGCCGAGTTGGTGTGGGTCACAGGGGTGCCTGTGCCTGTACTGGTGGACTTGGGAGTAATGGTGGTGGTAGAAGTTGGGGTGACTTCAGGATGGTGTGTGGAGGAAGCGTATGAGTGTAGGGATGTAGAGGTTTTGGCTGTGCTGAATGAACTCGGGGCTTGGCTGGTCCTACTGGTTGTTGCTGTCATTGGTGGGGCTGTGTGGGTGGACCTTGTGGACTTGACTGTTGTTTGTGGAGGAATGGTGCCTGTTGGCGTTGAGTGGATAGAGACAGAAGTGGACATCTGTGCGTGGGTAGGGATGATGACTGTGTGAGTAGTTGGAGTCACTGAGGAGGTGGAGAAAGGTGGAACGTGAGTGGGAAGTGTGGTCTGAGGGTGTGATGGTGTTGGATAGATAGTGGTGGTCTGGAAGGATGTTGCAGTCATAGGACCTGTGGAAG